TAAACTGATTATTTATATAAAATTAAGCGCCAGAGCCAGCTTTATTCATATAGAAAAATAAAACAATTTACAGAAATAAATATATTTTTTCCTAATTTTTTGTTTTTTTTCTTATTTAATCTCTCACACAAAAGGCTTCTTTCACTTATCTTTCTTGTTCTTTGCTTCTCTTCTCTAGATGATGATAATACTCTTCTGCTCGGAAATACATTATGTATAGATGTGAAATAGCCTGTTCTAATGCTTGTATAAGCAGACTTTGATTTACAATTAGTATATTCTATATTGAAGATTTTAAAATTTTTATCAATTAATAAAATAAAAGTAAATTAACACCATACTAAAAATCATTACATACTCTTAAAGTTAATAATAAATATATGAGAGGTTCTACTTTTCATAGTGTTGTGGTGTGAGAAGGATTTTTGTATAGCATAAATGAAAATAACAAGACAAGCTACTTGCATCATTTAAAAGAACATTCAGATATATATCTTCATTAGCAATCTGAATTTTGATTATACCAAATTGATTTCTGGCTAGCCTATATGTTATATTAACATAATCTATACTATCCAGTGTTTCTCACCATAGCTTTACTTTATCTTCGGTCTTTTTGGTATCATTGCAAATGATACATGAGGATTCTATATATATAAGCTCATTGATTTTTTTTATACTCCATTAATGCCATAATATCTGAATTCTTTCTTATCTTATTTCTTTGAAACTTGCTCGCTAAACTTTGTCTTTCTACTCTGCAATAAAATTCAACTATGAATAAAAACTAGCAGCAAGCAGAGTTGACAAGTATTTGAAAGAGTTACTTACTGCTCAAGCATATACTCCCATTAGGTATATTTTCCAGACTAGCTCGAAGTAAGGATATAATTATATCTGTAATATATGTCTTCTCACTTTGCTCTTTGTGATTCATACTATTTTTAAATGCCAGATTATTCCATACCTCTTCACTTAATGACAACAGAAATTTTAGAAAATTTGCTTATACTGTAATCAGCCATATGAAGAAATTATCAAACTACTTACAGTATGCTAAGTATTCATTCTGTTCTCTTTTTAAAATCTGATTCATTCTTCTTCCAAGATTTGTTGTGAACAACATTTCTGAGAACTTGTATATCTTCTGGCTTATTAAAATCATCTACAAACTTCTTACAACTTGAAGCGATTGACTCTAGCAAATTATATTTCATATTATTCCTGGGTTCTTGATAGCGAATTAAAACACAGTAAAATTTTTTGCATTATAATTTGTTAATTATGTTAATTATGTAAATTAATAAATTATTAAGAAATAGTTTTTTTTTGCATTGATCTTAATTTCTCTACAACAATTGATCTTTCACTCAAAACTAAATTCACCTCTGGATCACTCCATAAAAGTGTAGAGGGGTTAATATATTTTACTAAATTATTTTTTAGGGCGTCATAAAGAAATTGGTCGAGTTCTAAACAAAAAACACTCATAAGTTTAAATCAAATAAAAATTTTACAAATTACTAAATACTTACACTGAGCTTAGATACAAAAATATCATTTTTAATGGATCGTCAGTACTGTTTTTGATAGATAGCAAAAAAAAAATAATCCACATACCATTCTTGATAGGGTTCTAAAAAAAAACTTCTAAAATACTATACTACTATAGTAAAAAAACAATTAGGATTAGGGTTCGTTTTTAGAACTTTATTAAGAACAGTACTT